TCCAGGTTGAGCTGTTGTTCAGCATCTTAGCTGTAGAGGGCAGTGTCACTGGCCCTCACATATGGGATCCAAACCGGGGCCCTCTGGCGTCCCAAGCGCCACTTGGCTGGCCCTCAAGGAGCCTTTTTAGATTTTTTTTCCTTTTTGCCCCTTGAAATATTAGTACCACACATGTATTCTATGTCTCTATATGCTATGAGAGACACAAACTATTACGATATCTTAAGTTTTTTTCACACCCCAAGAACCAATTTTTACCCCCTTTTGGCGGCAAATATGACCTCCCTTAGAATGTATCGTATAGAATATAAAAAAGACATTTATGAGAAAATTGGGATTGACTTTAAATGAAGCATGTGGTGTTGCTTTGCAAAAGTGGTCTTCACAACTTTTTAGGTCACAGACACCTTTGAAAATCCCATAAAAATGATGTTTCCCGTCATCCCCAAGATGTACATATGCACACAATTTTTCATACTAGTTCAAGGGTTCATGGATATCCTGGCTTTAACGTGAATGTAAGATGGTGGTGATAGTATTATTCTTGTTTTATTGTAGATGCCATGGGCTTAACTGTGAATTAAATAATTTCTCTAAAGTGGTCCCTCTAACCTTTACAATAAAAAGATCCGTGAAACACTCATTTCAGAATGACAATTGGCTGAGGGTAATGTTGTATTGCTATAATTTAGTTCAAAAACTTTGTGTTTTAGACCCTTTCTTTTATGTAAATATGTAGGAAATTTTATCAAGCGATAACATTTATTAGGAAACTGCAAAATGTTTCTTACTCTGCTGATTCATTTCCCATTTTTACACCACTTCCCTTAGAATGATAGTAAGAGTTGGTGCTTGCTTTGTTTATCTTTAGCCCTAGAAACTAGTAAAATGGTACTCTCTTCTTCTGTAATTTCATGTAACACCTCACTGAGACCGATATTGTCAGCTAGTGAGGGGCTAGTTATTGTCATGGATGTGAAAGAACAAAGAATGCTACCTAACTGTAACTTAGAATAAACTAATTTCTTTGAACTCTCACTTTTTAGACCCCAGTATTTTGTTACAAACTCAACCATTTGTTGTAGCTTTCATACTGTGCTTTGGTAACACAACAACAGCAACAACAAAAACCAAAAAGAAAAGAAAGAAAATTTAACTTTACTGTAATAATCTTTTTAAGCCATCTACATACACAAATATTTCTTTTCCTGATGAATGAAAAAAATGCTAAAAATGTGATACCTCCTGGAAAAGGCCAGTTTTGGGGGTTTTTTTTTAAGAGAATGATTTTCCTTTTTACAACATTGTTTCTCCAGTTTTTTGGTAACAGAAACGTAGAATTACAGACTTGGACTGTTACCTGATTAAGCCCCCTCATTTTTAGGGTGAGAAACACACAATCCCATAGTTATTGTGGCTTCCTTAGGCTCCCCTTGTTAGTGGAGAGCCTCCACCAGGATCTGGGCTTTTCATTTCTAAAACAGTGTTCTTTTCACTGGTCTGTTGTCTTTTGTTAGGTGACTTCAGTACCATATTTGCTATAACAAGACACTATGTAATTTGTTGGTTACTATAGTGGTTCCCAAACCTGACTGCAGGGCAGATAGGCCCCAGGAATCTAGTTTTATAGATACCGTGGTATGATTCTCATTCACTGCTTTGAAGAACCATATTGATAGCACTTTGTACAGTAGTTCCTCTTTCTGTGGGGATACTTTCGAAGACCCCAGTGGATGCCTGAAAGCCTTTATATACTATGTTTTTTCCTATGCATACATACTTATATAAAATTTAACTTATAAATTAGGCACAGTAAGAGATTAACAATAACTGTGAATAAAATGGGACAATTATAACAATATACGCTAATGAAAGTTATATGAATGTGGTCTGTCTGTTTGTCAGAATATCATATTGTACTGTATATACAGCGTATATGCTAGACAAAGGAATGATTCACGTCCCAGGAGGGACTGAAATGGGACAGCGTGAGATTTCATCATGCTACTCAGAATGGTGTACAATTTAAAACTTACAAATTATTTCTTCTGAAATTTTCCATTTAATATTTTCAGACCTTGGTTGGCTGTGGATAACTGAAACCGTGGATAAAAAGGGACTACTGTATGAATATATAACTTAAAAGTTTGAATATTACTCTATAACAGAATTTTTAGAATAGACTGCCAATTGTTAGCAGGACTTGCTCAAAATACTATCTAAATTCTATGTTTTTTTTATTGTAATTTTTCTCACTGAATATGTATCAACAATTGTTTTTATTCTAGAAGTTTTTATACTATTTGAGGGCTTCTAAAGTTGCTTTGGGTGTTTCTGGAGTTATCAAGATACATAGAAAATTCTTGATGGCTTAGAATTTAAACTTCGTTTATTGAAGTTTCTTGAGTTATGAAGCAGTTGAAATTTCACTTATGCCCAAGTATTGAATTCCTAAGGATGGTAAAGACGTTTCCTTCATCATCCTGAATAAGATGAACTCAAGGATTTAGTATCCAGGGAGTTTATTTACTCACTGTGTATTCTTTTCACTGGTTGGACAGTAATTATTTTCAATCTCAATATTCCTTTAATGTTAATCTCAAATTTGGATTACTGTCTTTAAGAGTAGAAATATTTCTAAATATGGTTTTACTTTGTAATACTAATTTCATATTCAAGAAGAAATGTTGAAATTGGGCAAAGGTTTATAAAATTTCATTCCATTTAAAAATAAATTTTTAGATGTGGTTTTATACATCCTTCTTTATATGGGAGGGGGTCTGAGATGATTCAAGTGAAGAATTACCCTTCACACTTTCACACCCTATTTGAATTTCTTAATAATTTTTTGTTTGCTTTTAAACCTTAAAAAATTTGAATGTTTAAAAATATAACTAAAGAAATAAAATAACACATTCATTATCGTCAGGTCTCCGGCAAGAATATGCAGCCACCACATCTCGGCGCAGTTCTGGTTCATCTTGCAATTCTACAAGACGGGGTACTTTTAGTGATCAGGAACTTGATGCACAAAGTTTAGATGATGAAGATGACAGTATGCATCATGCAGTATACCCTGCTGTTAACAGGTTTTCACCATCACCACGCAATTCACCTCGACCATCACCTAAGCAGTCACCCAGAAACTCACCTCGTTCACGATCTCCTGCTCGGGGAATAGAATATAGTAGAGTGTCCCCACAGCCTATGATTAGCCGCTTACAGCAACCTCGCCTTTCACTTCAAGGCCATCCCACAGATTTACAGACAAGCAATGTTAAAAATGAAGGTAATTGGAATGTTTCTGGAAAAAAATTGCCCTTCATATTTCAATATGAAAGTAACAATTTTTACCAAGATTTTGTATTTCAGATAAGTAGATCAAGAATTTAGTTTACCATTTTAATAGTGAATACAGAAATAAAGGAGAAAGTCAATTTAATTTTACTTGATTATGTTTTGCTCTGTTCTACTCATGAAGTGATCTGTATATAGATTTTAATTTGAATAATTTATGGTTCTTATTAAAGGTTTTGTTACTCATTTATTAAATCTGGGTTGAGTTTTTTATAAGATGTGTACTTCCTGTTAGCTCTTCTAAAGTTTGTAGAATACTTAGATAAAGAATTTGATTTTTGAATGCTAATTACTATTTTAATTCTCCATTTGAAAAAATGGTTTGATTTTTTTTTTTTAATTAAAATTCTTTTTTCATAGAAAAACTAAGACGCAGTCTTCCAAATCTGTCCCGAACATCTAATACACAAGTTGACTCAGTGAAAAGCAGCAGAAGTGACTCAAATTTTCAAGTGCCAAATGGAGGAATACCTCGCATGCAACCTCAGGCTTCAGCCAGTAAGTATCTTTCATGTGTCAGTTATTTAAAGGAAAATGAAACTTACAGATATTAATTTGGTACTGATAGCTCTATTAAACTATATAGTAAAATGTAACAATTATTAGTTTCTATAATCATAGCTATATTAAAATTTAAAAGTTGTCCCTATAAGATACCCAATTGTATCAATGCTTTTTATATGTATGAAATTCTAGTCTCTCCAAAATTTTAAAATATGAAAAGTCTAGCTATTTAATATATAAATATATATTCCTTAAAAACTTCACGTTCTGCAATACCATATTTTTAAAATGACAGGATTTGGGGACGATAGTCCTGGAACAGACCATTTAAAACCCAAGCAGCTTTCTTACTAGAGCATTAATAAAAACAATAATAATCCTATAAAAATACTAGTACAATTAAAGGCATGTTAAATTCTTCATAAATAAATACTCCAGGAAATAGAGAACTTCATTTTTTGAAAAGTTGAGGGTAACTTGATGGAAAAGAAGGGTTGAGACTGTTGAATTAAAGAAGACATATGCAACATAAACAAAGATCAGAGAGAATCATGCAGAAAGAACTTCTAAGAAAGAGTGGCCAAACTGAGCCAATAAGTGATGTGGGAGTAAGATGGGCACTGTGTGCTTTACTGAACAAGGTGATTAAAAAATAATTAAACACTTTTCAAAAACTATTGCTTATTAACTAGGATATAGGTATAAGCATGTAGTCAAACCAGTTTTAAGCAAACAATCACAGTTATTTCTATGACCTTAGAAATGCTCAGTGTACACACCTTCTGTCCCACAGCTCTCATCGGTCCTGTAGTCTGGTACGCTCAGTTCCTTTGTAGCATGTTACCATCAATGGTTCATTTCCTCAAAGCTGTGAGGAAGAAGGTACAAACATGAGGTTATTGATTGTTCATTTATAACTTGTTTATTGAGTAATGCAACTTTGGAAACATTCGGTTCTTTTTAAACTCCCTGCACTCTTGGTTCTATTATGTTTAGCTGACTTTGTGTACTTTGTGTTAAGCTGCTATTACTTGGTGGCTCAAAATCAACAGGCCAGGAAAAAAATACATTTGAACCAAAATGACTTTTGTGATATTATTGATAAATTTCCTTATTTACCAATTGCATATGATATTTATATTACAGAAACTCTCGTACTGTATTGTACATGCATAATTCTCTTTAATCCTCAGAATAATTCTATGAAGTAGGTACAGTTATCAACAGATTTTATAAATTAGTAAATTGAAGCTTTTAATGGTTAAATAACTTATCTATGCTCATAGAGTTTATAAGTGGGAAGTTAGAATTCAAACCCATGTTGACCCTACTCAAGAGCCCAAGTCCACCTAGAGAGGTATCACATCGATGGTTTAGAACTAAGACATAAAAATTATCCAGAACTATTACTTCTGTTTTTTCTAAGATAAACTCTAAAATGTAAGGCACTGGAAAATTGTTACATAGAGATTTGTGTGCCTTATTTATTCAGCTGGATATATGCTGAAAAAGATGTTTTATACCAAATTAAATTTTAAACTTAGTATTCTAGGTCTTGTGAACTGTGTACTTGAGTGTCATTATGATACTCATAGGGTACTCATAAATGGTAAAGAAAATAGGGACTCACAAAACTTTAAAAATGAAGTAAACATACTGTTTGAACTCTTAAGTTATCCCTGAAATGGTGAGTGATAGGTTTTGTGCATTTAAACTAGCCAATTAAGTTAATTTGGCACTTGAGAAATCCTGTTTCTGTTTTTTCCCCCACTTTGGTATACTTACCTGAAACAAAAAGGGATCCACAGTGTTAACTCATACAACAAGAAAGAAAATATTATATCATTAAGAAGACTAATAAAACTCATGTATATTTTAAGCTACGGTTTTCTACCCAATGCACAGATAATCCAAAACATCATGTGTATATCATTTTCAAAGGTGTTTTTTTACTTTGTTTGAATTAAGTTCCCAGCTCTTTGATAAAACCATCTATATCTATATCCTTGTTACCTCATTCCATTATTGTCAGTTCCAACTCTTTACTCAGGATTATTCCCTCATTCCCTCCCTCATACGTGCTCTTTATTTGAACTACTGTAGCAGTTCAAAGCTATATGGAAATGAAAATTCTTCACAAAAATAGAAGAAGAAAAAAGTATAAACCAACTAGGATAAAAATGTTAATAATAGAAAAGGATATTGACTGTATCTTAAACTTTATGATAATTACTTGCCTTCTCTAGTGGTATAATTACCACTGTATAATCACTTGCTGATTCCCTAGAATTTTTTCTGTAGGTGAATTATTTTTCCTTTTTTTCCCCAGAAGTTGACAATTAAGGAAAATATATAGCGACACATAATGAGATTCTAATCACTAATTTACTTTTAAGTGGAAAATAAGTATACAGTGTCATATTTCAATATTTGAATAATGTAAAGGCAGAAGAGAAAAGAAAATTGTATTTAAAATTGCATATACTTGTTTAGTTTTATATTTGTAGCTGTAGTGAAGCTTATTTATAATTGAAATGTCACAGACATTTTAGTGTAGAATAACACTTCACAAAAAATGTATTTTCAAAGTAGTAAATCCAGAATTTTAGCAAATTTAAAATTTAGAGTTTATTTTATAAAAATATATAAAGCTTCTTGTTTAAAGTTAATACATTATGAAGCAAAATATAATGTTACCTATATTTCTTAAAATTTTACACATGTTTGATACGTAAGTGTATGTTTTCTTTTAATTAGTGTGTGTATTATATACTGTTTTCATAATAGCCTTTTAATTTTGATATATAATTATGTACAAATAGCAAGTTTTATACACTTTATACGTGAATTAGTATCTTTAATTTTTTTGTATAAACCAGTTAGTATAATAGATGTTGCATTTTGTTTTAAGTATTTATTTTTCCAGCTCTTAAGTGGTAAAGCTTTGGTTCTTACTTGCTGGTCTGCATGAACCTAACTTTGCAAGGTTGCTGTTATTTCCACCTGCAGGGCCATTTCTTTTGCCTTGTAACTATGCCAATCACTATTTTTATATGCTTATTTGCTGTGGCTGCATTATTGTGGGTGCTGGTATTCAAATATGAGTATTATGAGAGTTCTAATATATTTTTCAGTTTTATAGCTATTACCAATTTTTTACTATTCTACTTGGAAAATGTAACTTAAAAAGTTTAAGAAAACCAGAGCATTGCAGAAGTCAGAGATACATGTCATTTTCTCAGTTTCTCCAGTTAAAGGAAGGAATGTTTGTCAGGGAAAAAGTTTTGCAAAAGACTAGTGCCTTGCTTTCTAAGACAACTAGAGTACAGGTTTAGTAGAAAGTTTAGTTTTCAAAAAAGATATAGGATTTATTTGTTCAGAAATAAGGAAAGAGAAGGGAGAAAAACCCAAGACAATCTGCTGGCTTAAAAAACTAATAGTACTCAAACTTTGATTAGTATTTTTAAAATGTTTACTTTCACATGTATTATCTCATTTGAACCTCACAACCCATTTCTTATTTTTATAGAGAGAGAGCAGAGACCCATATAAATTATATACACAACATCATGTAACTAGAAAAGTGGCAAAACCAAGCCAAATTACTCCCTCCTCCCTGAGTCTCTTGATTTCCTCCCAGTCATTGTTTGGATTACATCATGCTGACCTAACTGCCAAAGAGTAGGCATCTGGGGAAATGTTCTTGGATGACTCTGTTGGAGCATGATTTAAGAAAGCAAAGCAGGGAAATCTCTGGGATTGGATAAAAAGTAAAATGAAGAGACACATACTTCTTTTACATTGGTGGGCACAGGATAGTTAACAATTAACATTTACGGCAGGTAGAGATGGTATTCGGGGAACAGGTAACAATGAACGGTTCTGTGGTCTGGTGTTCTGGTGCAGTGGGCGTGCCCTGAGCGTTGTGGGGGTTGCGGGGAGGGAGCGATTACTCTGATATTACAAGGGTTTGTTATCTTAGATGCAAAAAGATATAGATGGCTCACTTAAGTTTAAGAATGACTTTCGGCAAGGAAGATGCAAGCCTATGATCTGCTCTTAGGCCTGCCACGCAGTCCTCCCCTGAGCTTGTCAGGTTTAATATGTGGCCGTTTTTTTGTCCACACGTAGGATACAGAGTACACCCCCCAGAGAAAAGGTATATAGGATCAATATTCTACTCTGGACCCCTCACTGAAGAGGGAATGTCCCAGGGTTGTTGTCAGCTTTACATATAGCCAGACTGCACTGAGGCCCAAGGGGGAAGAAATTCTCATCCAGATTTCACTTGAAGGTTATACTTGAATTTTACATAATTATAAAACATAAATTGAAATAAGTTGTGATAAATTTGTGTAATGTGTTAATAAAAGAATGAATGAAATATTTGTAAAACTTCTGTTTAAACATAAATAGTGTAGTGATGTTGGGTCATTTATCTACTCATGAGATTTTTTTTTTTTATAAAGATTTTTATTGGGGAATTGGGTGGATGGGAACAGTGCTGGGGAACTGGGGGAAGGGGAACAGATAAGGTGCTGCCATTTTTTGTTCTTCAGTCTAGTTGTGGAGGACGTTGCTTCACTGGCCCAAGTTGGCACCATCATTGCGCTCTTCCC